AAGACGAAAAACTGCACAAGAAATTTGCCTTATTTACACGTATCTGCAATGTAAGCTGCCATGCGGCTTCCCCTTCTGACGTCACAAGGGGAATTTCTGTATGCAAATAAGAAGCTAATGAGGAGCCTCGTTTTAAAATACACAAAAATAAAGTTGCCGTAGATTGAGTTTAAAACCTATTTTTTCACTTAAAAAAAATAATTCATGCTTAGAAATATAAAAATTAATAATATTTAGGTATCAATGGATAATTTTAGGCGTGAAAATAGCATCCATATCACAGGCACTTTAAAGTGATGTTAGATATTCAACTACACAAAACATACTAAAAGTAGTTAATTAGTATGCAAATTAACTAATTAATATGAACAGATTTGTACCAAAATTTATATGACATTAGCTGCTCTTTGTGCTTTAGTCATGTGAAGCCAAAAATGGTCAAATAGAAATATGCAACAACATACCGTTGTGACATTCCCAGCTGTCGTTTCTTTGACTGAAATAAAAAAAAAATTAATTTTAGAAATATTAAACAGCCATAAGCCATAAGAGAGAGGTGGATATATACAATATACTGGTACCCAAGATACATAAATAATTAATTGTATGCGCATATACACTCCAAAGCAGTTGTGTCAAGTGTTGTTTGTTTCATAATTATTTTAACAATGAAGTAGAAATATTTACTGGGTTTAATTTTAGCAGATTGTAGCTAGGTTTTAAATTCATTGGTTTTTGAAGGATACAATATATTCTATTGTGAAATTTGAATACTCGCTGGCTTTTAAATGTATTTTCTTTATTTAGTTATCAGAGAAATAAACAAAATAATAAAACCTAGCTAATGAATAAGACTTATACCAGTATCAAGAACAAATTAATGAATTATTGTTTTAGATTTTATCATTTTGTTTTGCATCAAAAATAAAAATAATGCTTGGAAAATTAAATTTGTTATTTCATTTGTGGCGTTGTTTCTGTGTTACCAAAAACTAGGTAATTACTTAATTGATGTCACTTGTTCAAATAAAATATGTTTTAAATTTTGTGTAATTCTGAGCAGCTGCAACCGAGCTGTCATCGCAAAAACGCTTAAGTTGAGCCTGAATGATTAAATCTTGTATTTGTGTGTCATTGTCGATGGTGACCAGAGTGTCTGATTTTTCCATCTACCATATAGTTCTATTACAGGAGAAAATATGAGAAATACTACCATACCTTCATTCATAAAAAAAAATACAACAACCTAGTAATATTACAAGCATATGTGGTTTTTGGGGTAAAATATATAAAGTACAAGGGATTTGTGATGTTGTTAAAACTGTAGGCGCTTGTAAATACTGATCGTTTAGTCCCCAAATGTATCAGTGACAGATTGTTCTGATCCTCAGAGATTAGTTAGAGCACACAGTCCCAGGTAATCTGATTTAGAGTTATTCGTGCTGAGCAGTCACAAATTAGTTTTTCTTTGAAGTCACCCCTTAATTAAGCTTTTCACCATCAGAATTTCTCGCTCAAATTTTTCTGCATTTTTTTCTTAGATTCTTCAATATTTCTGGAAATGAACCACAATTTTGGAGTTAACAGACAAAATTTAGTAATTTTCAGTTATTACTCGAAAATTTTGCAATTTTGTCCCAATCTTCTGAAGGAAAGTGCAGACTATAAACAGGTCTATTTTGAGAATTTGGATGAAAATATCTATTGGAGTACATTAGGCAGCTAAACAAAACATGCCTGTGCAAACATTTTCTTTCTAATGAGGTTAATGATTTGATATCTTTAAAATTTGGTACAAAGTATTGCTACTGAGCAAAATGCCTCCACACTGTTTATAAAAATCGCATTAAAGTTCAACTGAAAACAGGACATAGACTATACAGAATTTATCCTTTTTTCGCACAAAAGTGACAACAAATAAAAATCAAAGAAAGCTTAGAAAGAACTCCCGTGTGCTGAGAGTTTTGGAGACACATTAAAAATTAATTCAAAATTACTTATACTTGAGATATTGATGGAATAGCTGAAAACTAATTATGCAAATAAGGTAACTTATATGAACAGATTTAAGTGTAAAACTAAAGGTCTGCACAATGTACCAAGTTTCATTGAAATGTGATTAGAACCAAAAAAATAATTATATTTATATAATAATAATTATTAATTATTATGCTAATTAGAGAATTAATATGAACAGATTTTAACCTAAAATTAATCAGGCTGTCTATTGTCCTAGAGCATTTATGTACCAAGTTTTATTCAAATGCGATGATCAATACTTGAGATATCAGTATTAATTAATTATGTTAATTAGGTGATTAAGAAGCATAAATATTTACCAAAAACTAATATGGTGCATGGTCTGAGGTTCATTGAAATGTGATGGGTACTCTTTAAAAGTTTCATTGAAATCCAATGAGTGGTTTTTAGACATCAGTGCAACAGTCAT